AATTTCATCTATCAAATGGTACAACTGTTTTTGTTAAGCCTTTAAATTACAGTTGGAGAAGGGAGCGAGGGATTTTCACTTAGCATTTCTACTTTGCAGTACTTTTTATCAAATTTTTTTTTGAATGAACGTTTTCCGGTTAAGCAATAAGGCAGTCAAGAAGCACGGAACTGATGTACGGATTTCCTCCGCATATTACTCATTCATAGACATAATCTGCAAAGGCAAAAATTTTAAAAAAAGTTTTTTTATTCAAAATCATAAGTCAAAAAGGCAAAAGTTTTTACCCTATCATTCACATCTGTCATATACTGTTTGAAACTCAAAGTGCATGGCTTCTTTGTTAATTACTGAAAATCACATATTTAACTGAATTTGAAAATTGAGGTATTGCTGCAACCTACAGTAAGCGGTGAAACGAAATACTGGATTGGACTGCATCGAAGAAATGTTCATGGGTTAGTTTGAAAAATGCTATCGAGAAGAAAATCTTATCCATAATCAGTTTTAACTTCAACTAAGGGAGCGAGATTTGAAGACAGGAGCTTGATTCCATACCAAATCGCCACCCTAGTTCTTCTTCGTTTTTCCCCATGTTTGAAAATTATTTGACAAATTTGACACCTGAAATCCCATTATGTTTAAAAAGTTATATTTTGTAGCCAGTACGAATGGTCAGATGGTTCAGCATTTGATTACATGGTACAGACGGTGGTAAACGAAGATCCAGATGAAGAAGCTGGTGCCTGCACAGCAATTAAATTCAATGTCAGGTTCGAAGGATTTCCTGAAAACACAGAATTCAAATTTTCGAAAAAAAAACCATGCATTAATTAAATAAATTTGCCTTCAGAAGTACACGGTTGTTAATAAACTCTGTTACAGCACGAGGTCACTGCTTTCTTCATCGCTATACTACAAAATGGGCATTCCACCGCCTCCACAAAAAAGCGCTCCAGGTATCATTTCCTTCTTTTCCCTCGACAAAAACTCTTAATGATTCTGATGATTTGCTGGCAGCGCTGATGAAATTTGAGGAGCAGGGAAAGTTGAAAAATAGTGTTTTTTTTTTCGAAAAAAATAAAAGATGTTGGATGAATTTTAGTACTTTAAAAATCGCTCTTTTCAATGTACTGCGTTTTATACATACTTTGATCAGCTGCAGTTCATAATGTGGTTCAGCAGCTATGTAGCTGACAACTTTTCTAATTGCTTTGACCAATGGCCCATCGATCAATCTGAGCCTGACGTTCTTTTTAAAACGCTGATGATGTTATCAGCTCAGCAAGTGTGATTGAACGGCTTCAGTTATTTCGATATAATAACCTTAGTGTACGCAGAGCATTGTGCCTTATGTTTACGTAAATGTTAATTGCTGGGTAGATTACGGGAAATGAAAACAATTTCACGTACATACCTTTATAAGCAAATTATTGCATAAGCAAATTATTGCAGCATACACATGGATTCATCAGCGATGCGACAGCCGACACTTAGCGATATGCCGAAAACCTGGCTTTGATTTCAAAGTTTCTAAGACAAAATCAAGGAAAGAGGAAGAAGCGGCAAAATCGCTGAGTTGGAAATGCTCCAGAGAATACAAATTATTCAGTTTGTTTTCTGATCTACACGCCTTTCTAAGAATTCAGAGTTCGGATGAGTTCCATAAAACGAAATTTTGCATGAGTTTCTCAAAATGAAGTGGCTCACCCATTTTTAAAATTTGAAATAGTATTTTATCCAGCCTTAGGTCTGTACGCTTGTGTCTTTAAGACAAAGTGTGTTTTGGGCGACAAAATTGCTGCTTTACTTTTACGTGGATATTTGTTGTCAGTACGCGAGATAGCAATGAGTTTTCACGTCTGTGCACATATCCAGTATGTGGGCACTTCTAAGGTCCGTTCGGAAAACTGGTAGCATTCTCTTCTCGCGGTAATCTGGTGTACAAAAAAACTGAAATTTCACGAATCCCTACGGGTCAGCAGTGCCGGTTCAGCCGATAGCACTCTCTTCCGAACGCAGAAAAAACTGCTGACAAAAGCATTTCCAACGTGAGTGCACCTATTAACCTGTGGAACATTGAATGCTT